CACGGGAAGTGAACACTGTTACTATTTTTACATTGAACAGACCACAACATAAATAAATGGCTGCTTAAAGAAAATAAAAATCCAACTCTATTAAAAAATTCTCTTTAATTCATGCTGAATGAGGTTGCCGTCTTCCCTCCCTAAAGGAGGCTGTAAAATTAAATTACTGTTTGTGAAGTGCTCTGATATCACAGCAATAAGTACCCCAGAGAAGCCCATGGGGAAATGAGTAATTTTGCCTTGTGAGCAGGGATACAAGAGCACACAGCACACAGCCACACAAGACAGCAAGATAAACCAATTTAGCTAGTGGGCATCTTTCACCCTGCACTGATCCCGGAAAATGCAGTCTGTGACCACGTAGAGACCACACTGTAATGCAGATATACAAGACGACTCAAGTAAAACCGAAGGCAATTTTGGTTGTGGCATTTCCTGACTTTCAAGAACTTTCTGCAGCTTCCGCAGAAGCATTTCAAGTCGACCTGTAGCTTCCCCACAACGCTCGCCAAAACGCCTCCTGCAGTCCACAGTCAGCCCTCAGCCTCTCTCCTTCTGAAGGCTCTTCAAACACACGTAGACAGAGCTAGTTTTTCATGGGGCTGATGGCCCATTCCCATGGAGATCAGCCATGCTGACCAGTGACCACCGCAGCCACTACAAGCAGCTCTAAGTCTCCCTGGGCTGGAAAGGTAGGACATAGCAGAGCAAATAGCAAGAGCTAGCTGCTTTCTCCCGTGAGGACCAACATCAGCAGGTAGCGTGTCACTTAATTTCTCTTGTGGGTTTCACGGTGGCCACAAGACAGCAGGAGAGCGCTAGGATGCCCGAATACCCTTTCACACCTGGGACTGACCGTTTTATCAATACCACTGCCATAAAGCATGCTCCCGCATCGTTCCCAGTCCTTGTCTCCATCCCATTCATCCTCCTTTGCTCACTTGACTTCCCAGTTTTACTTGCTGAAGAGTGGATTTTTATCGGAGCTACTAAACAGCGTACTCACAAACGAGCATCACTTCCCTGAAAGTTTCAAAATGCTCCCCACCCCTCCCTGCAACAAAGGAGCAGAGAATTTCTCAGATAAGAAGGCTGAGGGAACAGTGTAATTTTTAAATGACTAAGCAGCCTCTTTCTCTAGCCCTCTTCTCAGAAACAGATGACCAACTTGGGAATGCCACTTCCCAAAAGCATTTGGTGAAGACTTGCGGCCCAATCTGGCGTGGGGATGAGATTACACCAGACTGCAGACAGAGGGTATTAACGGAAAGCACCAGCAAGCTGGCAAAGCAGTTATCAGCTCTTTCAGAAGGGCCCCGCACTAAGGGCAGAGCCTCTGCTATCAGCAGGCGTGCTTCTGAAAGCAGCCAAGTTCTGTAAGTTGGCGTCTACGTGAACAAAAAGCCTAAGCAAACATCACATGGCAAAGCACACTCATTGTCACTACTTCTGAGCACAGATTTCGGTGGTGCAGAAGCTCAGAGCAGTTTTCCCAAGGAAAACAAGAAACTGAACTCCAGGACGTTTTCCCCAGATTGGGGGGGGAGATCCAGGCAGGGATCAGAGGGTTTTACAGCGTGGTGGAAGTAGTACAACAAAACCAGGCGGTCTTTCCAGCCAGGTGAGCCATTTCGCTCTAGCAGGAGCCCTCCACTCGTGACATGCCAGGTGTGCAGTGCACACGCCAGTCAGCTGAACTGCGTCGTGTGGAGACCCAGCACACTCGCGTGCCTCAGTGACAGCACACACGCTGCTCAGTGCAGCTTGTACCAGACTTGCAGCACTCCATTGCATGGTGGGGGAGCGCTGCTGGCCCCTGGGAAAGAGCAAGAGCAGGCTGCTACCATGGGATTTATTAAACCAGGCTACAGGCTGCTCCTCAAACCAGGGAATAAGCTTGCTGCCAATGAACTGCAGACAAGGGAATTGCTCTAGGGCTGTATGATGATGGCGAGCTCCACGTTAGACTCTGCTCTATGGCAGGGATCACTCTCACTGGCTAACTGGCAACTTTTCATCAAGTGCTTACCAGCCTCCAAACTCAAAAGGCACTAACAGCACTTTATGCAAGCTGTTCTCCTAGCAGACACAGGAGACACCAGAACAGGGCAGGTCATCCCCTTTGCTGTGCTCACAGACAGTCCCCAAACACGAGAAGTAACAAATAATTCACATCCCAAAGCCTTTGACAGCTATCAGTAATGGCTTGAGGGGTCTATTCCTCTCTGAAAACAGTGACATTTCTCTTGTGTTTGAGGCTCGTTAAATGCTGCCCACCCATCACCTCTCAATGCTCTCAGATTGCTTGCTGGTCACCATACCCTTACAAGCTCCAGTTCAGAGGGGCTCTTCACAGATTTCAACAGGAATTAAAATTTGACTGTCTTGGGCTGCTCACTCATTCGCCTTGGAGTACAGACAAGAAGGTGCACAGAGAACTCATGACTTTCCTGTCGCACTGTACCAGCAAGCTCCTCTTGCCTGCTGGAGACACAGATGTCTGTGTCAGAGAAGAAACTCCTCCAATATACACTGGTCTTTGAGCTTTTGCTCAAGTATGCAGTTTTCTAAGCCTGTACTTGTTACGAGGTGCTACAGCATCTGTGAACTATGGCTAAACGCCCTTCCACATGTTTGTTTCTGGGCATGAATATTTTACTAGCTCTTAAGCTAAAACATCTGAAACCTGCACTCAAAATTTTGGCCCACATAAGCCCTAGCAAGCTCACTGTTACTGGGATTGCCTGCAGTGTGTCCTCAAAGCCCAGATATGGCCCTTCCCAAATGTTCTAAAGCAGTGGTTTTCAACCTCTGAAACAATCATTTGAGAGTTTTTGGTCAAAGAGCCATTTTATATGTTTTAGCAGCTGGGACAAAAGCCATAAGACTAAGACAGCACTAACCACTGATGTAATGCTCTTTTACAAATTGCTTTGCTAAATACATGGTTTGGTTTAGCACTGTAGTCTAAAGCCTTCCCCTGTCTGGGGCTGTCAAGTCAATGACAGTCAGTTGTAAATTAAACAATCATTAAAACTGAATATCAATTTTGCAAACTGAAGCTTGAATGTTTCCCCAGTTGGGGGACTCTTTTCCCCTCCAAGGCTCGCTGGGCACCCAGAGGAGCTGGAAGTGTTGGAAGGAGAGCTGGGGACTGCAGGAAGGAGAAGGGGGCAGGCATCGTTTCCAGAGGGAGGTGGGAAGGGAAAGGAAGTAACCTCTAGAATTGATGGGAACGGAAAGAGAGATGGGAAAAGCAACTTAGAATTCCAATTGTGACTCGGTTTTAACCTAACTGATGGAGCAAGGGGAAGGAGAGAGTGGACAAGAGCAGTCACAGTTACAAACCAGAATTAACCCCCACTCCCCACACATACACTTCTGGTACAGGCACCCACAAATCTCCGATAGCTGGCAGGTAACAGTAGTCCATTGTTAAGAATCAGCCCACAGACCTCCTTCTGCAGCCTCACTGATGACAGTGCAGCAGCAGCAGCACTGCTTTGCATTGGTTTGAAACGCTATCAACAGGAAAAGTAACTTTTGAAACAAAAACCAGAGCTATGTGCCAAAGTCCAAACACTGCCAGGGAGGCACGTGATGAAAAACCCTGCAAGGACAGGGTGCACGCAAAGAAGTGGAGTATTTGCAGTGGTGGCTCTGGATGACGCTTTCCCACTTCTCTCATTGCTGATGGCTGCAGGACTGGGGGAGTCCCAAAATTGTTAACTGTAAATCCCCACCTGCAGACTGATGCTTCTCTGCAGTTGCACATTGTGTTGAATGAACACCCAAGCTCAACCTAGCAGCAAGCTGACACAGGGAAGAGCCTCCCTGCAGTTTCACAGGCAGTGAATGGGATCTGAATGCGGTGCTGGCAGCCAGGGCTGCAGGACCTTGCTTTGATCTTCCAGGTTGGACCTCAGGTGTGCCAGCAACACCCTCCTACATGGTCCTGCAGCACTGTCAGAAACAGTAGCCATATCAACATCGCCTGCTCACCTGCCAACACAACTCACACATATTTAGACAGATTAAACCGTGTTCTAAAACAAACCGTTACAGCCTTTTGTACTGTAACTCAATGATTTACTTATTCCTCTTTGGGGATGTACACTTGAATTCTTAGGTCAGAAGATTGTCTAGTCCAAGCTGCCCTTGTTGGACAGTAATGAAGGGCTTCATTACTGGCAGCTGCTATAAACGTCAGGGGCCAAAGGAAGTCTGAAATATGAGCACAGCAGACTGTCTAAACAGGGGAATGGAGAGCACCTTGTGATAGAAAAAACAAAACAAACCCAAACCAACCCACCAACCACAATCTGGATTGTACCTTCCAACTCTGAGGCTGATGGACCCATCAGGAACCTGGTCCTCCTACAGTCAAGGCAAAGAGGAACATAAGGACTAGCTAAGCCATGTCCTGCTTTCTCCTTCAACTGCGGGGAACACAAGGCAGTGGCAGGGCACCACAGCTCAGCAGAGGCTCGCTCACATCAATATTAGTCAAGGGAGAACGGGTCTTTTATGAAAAGTATCAGCAATCGCCACATCTCACTTTTCAGAGCAGAACATGACAAGGAAGTCACATGCAAGAGAGCTGCACTAATGCAACACTTTGAGATAAGATTAAAATTAACAGGAAAAAAGAATATTTCTGAGAACTTCATATTTCAGTCGGTCATGTGGTGACCTCTGCGTTTCGATGCTCAGGCATTGAAGTATATCTACAAGTCCAATGTTTTCTGTAGTCCTACAGCCTGCCACTGATAGGTGGGGGGTTCACAGGTAAGAGTTGCCCCAAACATCGCTACTGCATTTTTGCAACTACGTCACTTGGTCTGATAACAGACTTGATCTCTCTACATAAATTGTTCTTTGTGAGTGCTAAGGTACTGCGAGGAGGAGGAGACAGCAAGAATCACAAGGACAGTAGGGCAAATCAGTCATTTTATCTCAAATGGTAAAGAAGTAAAAGTGAAGCAGGAAGAAAGTGGTACCTCTGTCAAAGGTCTCGGTCTTCTCTCTACAACAAATTCTGTGTGGCAGAGCTCACAGTAACTTGTGTTGGAGGAGGATAACCATTTTTCCAGGCAGCTCTTGTGCACGGTGCCCAGTGTTCCTGTGCAGTCACACGGGGAAAGCAGTCCCTCCCCATTTCCACCTTCATGACAGATTCGACAGATGGGACCATCACTAAAGGGGCAGACAAACAGAATGAAATCACGGTCAGAGCAGGCAGAATGATACAGCCACATTGGAGAACGGGGTCCGATTCCACCAAGCCCCAGAAGGGTAAATGCAGAGCAGGCAGTGTGTGGCAGAGTGTGCCAGGTGCACTGCAACTCTCCAAAGCAGCCCGCTGCAGCAAGAAACCAGTCTCAGGGGAGCACAGAGGTGCCCGGGACATTTTAGGTCAGTAAAATCTGGAAGCTGTGTTGATGAGCACCACAACACCCAAGAGAAGCTGGCACGTCAGCCTGGCCAGCTCAGCTGGCCACAGAAGGGACCGCAGTGCATGTGTCCCACAGTCTCCAGCTCCGCTCACAGCGGGCAGAGAGGATGACACCGGATCTGAAACCAACCCTGAAGCACTGATGCAAATCCAGAAGCCCAAAGTGAAGCCAGATGATCCACGCTAGTCACAGCGTGCCCCCAGCCACCTGGAGCCACTCAAGAGGTTTGCAATCATAGATGCCCTTATCAGATCGCCTACCCACTCTCACCCCATCTCTGCTCTGCATCCTGGGTTTAGCAGTAACTGTGTAAGGAACAGCGATATCTAAAGACACAACTACATTGACCCTGGAAGCTCAGCTCTCCAAGGACACAACACATTTCATGGCAAGCAGTCACCCAGACTAAGTTCTTGGCATACAAACCTGCTGCCCATCACAGTGCAGTAACTCACTCAGCATCCTATGTGCACACCGCCACGCATAGAACTGTTCTGCAGCATTTGGGCCTTTAACTGGCTGCAGAAATGCCTTGGTGCTTCAACAACCACTTCTCACCCCCTCCTTGGCTAGAAGTTTCAACTACAGAATCAAAACTCTCTGATCATGCTCAAGATCTGCTCTCTTGGGACCGTACAGAACCAGAGATGCTTATCAAGGGAAGTATCAACTGCTTTCAGAGACACTTGCAACCTTCCCCACAGGAGGCCTGCACTGCTGACCGCACTCAAACCACCCATTTGTTCCCAAGATGTTCCCTCACGCCTCTAACTGGCACTGCTGACCGTGGACTATTAGTGCTACTGCTCCAGCATCCAGCCACCATTAGCTCAGGTGTATCAGATGATATTCATGTGACAAATTTCCATCATAGACTAAAGTAATTTTTTTGCGCCTACATAAACTCAGAGCATCCAGTGCCCTCCTGTAGCAAGGACTTTCTCTAGCTGCACAAAGAACCAAGTCCTTTTCACTTGAAACCTCTTATTTGCTTGTTTTGCATACTATCCCCTAATTCTTGTCCTGTAAAAGACAATGTTTTCCACACCCCCCAGATTTTACAGACTTCCATCATAGCCTGCTCAGTCACCTCTTTCACAAGCAGAAGAGTCCTAGCCTATTCAGTTATGCATTAGACAGAAACACATCCACCTTTCTGATCACGTTCACTACCCTTCCCTCTACCTCTTGTATTTCTAAAACATCCTTTTAGAGCTGCAGGGACAAGAGCTACGGTTTTCACGATGCAGGCACACCAAGGATTTCTGCAGTGACTGTGTTCTGTTCTTCATTGCTTTCCTGAATCTTAGCATCTTATTTGCCTTTTGGTCACTGCTGCACATAACTGCCACATGCCCAAGATCTCCTTCCTCCAAACCCGTGAACACATATGTAAATCCCGGACTATTGTTCTTCATCTGCATCACTGCACACAGAACTGCAACCATTGTTTTAGCCCGCAGTCATTTCCAATAATGTTCAGTTCCCTAAACTCAGGCATCTAGTGCCATTTTAGGTCCAAGGGCATCCCAGCTGGCATTCGAAGGCACAGGTTTCCTAGAAGCCCTGTGCCACATCTGCCAGCCCCATAATGAGGATGTCTTGGGCTCCCTGGGAAACCACAAATGGCTCTAGACACTGAAGTTCACTATTCTCAGCAATTCAATACATCTCTTTAGTGTTCGCCATTCATTAAGATCATTTAGGAATAAAATGCTGGACAACAGAGGCCCAGTGCAGGGTTACCCTCCCTGGACTATGAAAACAAGCCACTCACTAGTATCTCACTTCTTTCTCACCTTCCAACCAGCTATTTCTTTCACACAACAACCATTCTCTTACATCCATAGTTGCACAGATTTGGGGGTGGGAGGGAGGGTGAGAAAGGAACATCTTTATTTCAAAGCCCCTATGGCGTGCCCTCTTGAAATCCAGGTGAGCTATATCATCTATCACCTTTTTCCACATATTGCTGACAGTACAAAAGCCTCACTGTTCCCATGTCACAGTTCATACTCCACTGCTATTCTGACTTTAAAAAAAACACCTGACTGCAAAAGAAGTTTGTGGGATCGCAACACAACAGTCAGAACAAGCAATCTGCAATCTTCAAAAGCGGTAGCGGTACTTCCATTAGTTTGCACAACCAGACAAAACAGAAAGCAAGAGCAAGACACGGAAACACAGTGCAAGGAAAAGGAGCGTACTGGGGAAAAACGGTGGTGAGACATGAAGGGAAGAGAAGAGCCAGCAAGGAAGTGCACATCAGCTCACTAAAGGAGAAGCAAGACTCCTCTCCTGGTGCACCATAGGAGATCTCTACCACTTTCAACACAATGTTTAGCAGTTTCATCCCAATTGGACTTTTTAATCATATTTAGGGCTGTGAAGCAATGTACACCCACTGCACCATCCCCTTCTCTCTGCTAAACATCACTGGTGAACCACTGACCCTTGTTCTCTACTTATTTTCATGTGCCTTTTATTTAGGGGACTTCTTCAGGCGGGACAATCCCTGCAACAGGAGTCTGGAGAGGTGGTGGAAACTGCATCCTCAGAGATACTGAAGACTGCACTGGACAAGGCTCTGAGCAGCCTGATCCAACTTTGAAGTTGGCCTTGCTCTGAAAGGAGGCTGGATCAGATGTCCTCCAGAATTCCCTTCCAATCTGAATTATTTGATGATTCTGTAACCTTTATATAAAGCTCAGTGCTGCATCAGAACAGCAAAATTACAGTCTGCTCACACAGCCTTAGTGACAGGGACAGACCAAAAAAACCCCAAGCCTCCAGTGCTCTCATGCATCTGTTATTTCCTAAGAAAAGCATCTGTAAGATACTTCATCTGTTCTCTTCCTGTTTGAGAAGTTTCATATTTCCAGCACATTAATATAACCTTGGCTACCAATAAACAATCCAGAAGGAAAAATTTGCTGACAGTGCGAGAAAAAAAATTCTTGTCAGACTCCATTTTCCGTCCTTCCTATCCGGGGGGGAGGGAGCCTGGTCACACTCCCACACGACACACCCTCAAACACAGTTTTCCAGCAGGCTGTAGAGACCGTATCACTAATTCAACCTCCCAGTACAGTCACACTGGTCCTGGCTGCACTTTGCTAAGTGCTGGTGACAAGGAAGAGACTGAAACCCATCACCACCAAAATAAACAGACTGTTATGCCATGAAGACATGCACATGAGGAATCCTGTTGGTTTTTTTTAACCTGTAATCCCAGGCAGTTTCCTCACCTGATTTTTACACCTCCACAAGTTTTAAGGGGTTGCAAAACTCACCCAACCTATCTGTTGTCAGAGAGCAAGCTCAGTTCCCCTTGCATTTTTATTGACCTGATCCAGGTTTGCTAGATATAGGAATTACGTTTGCCTCAGTTCTCATCTAGCTTTCCTGCTTTCCTCCCCCACATTTGCAGACATCGCTTTTACACCTCATCAACATTTGGCCAAATTAATTGAAAAAAAATAACAGCTGTTCAGACAGGATTTGAACACAAAATGTGTCTCACTAGCTGGACTGAACAATGCTGCCAAGCGTCCTCTGCTCTGGAAGCTGCTCAAAATACATGATGAGAAGTCATACCAGGAACTGTCTAAGCAAGTGAAGCTGCCACACTTCCCCTCTAGCAATAGCTGGACACTGCAGTTCCTGCAACACAAACACCCTCCTCTCCCTGGGGCTGCAAATCGACACCATGCCTTTACTCCACGACCATCTTGGAACAGGGGCTGTGCTCCATTTTCAGCCCTTAAATCATCTCCATGAACAGCACGCTGCCCTTGCTAGCATGGTGTCCCGCCTTCACCGCTGCTCAGCAAGGACTTGGCAGAGGCACATGGCAAGAGGTTGCCTGTGCTGTCTCATACTGGAGCAGCCGCAGGCCTAGGAGGTTTTGATGAACACGCAAGTCCCATTCCACCAGCACGTGCAACCGGCAAGAGCTTCCGCAAAGAGAGCACAGGCCTGGGAAGCATCTGGCTAACAAGGATTCGCACTCAATATTAGCGCCCTGGTGAACTCCTTCACAAACAAGACTTTGTTGTCTCCTTCTACCCCTAGGGCCACAAAAAGAGGGGGAAAAAAGCCCAGATGCAGTCATCCCAAGCCCCTTCCCTGAAGCAGCCTTACCTCTGCGCGCCCAGCGCCTTGATCACTGTCGAGAGGAGCCGTCCATCCTTGGCGGTGACTTGCGTGACGTACTGCGGGCGACCGATGTCGGAGTCCTCCACTGACTTGGAGAGGGCAGCGCTTCCTGGGCAGTCACACAGGGAGCCGGGGAGATGGCAGCAGTCGCCCGTCGTCATGGCAGCTCCAGGCCCCTCTGCCCCGGGGACCGGCACTGGCAGCACGGAGACCTGCGGGAATGGCACAGCGGTGAGAGCCGGGTACCCTGGACTGCCCGGCCATGGTGTAGGCCCCCCCTCGCCACCCTCCTCCAGCCCTGCAGGGGCTGGCAGCACCCCAGGGCCCCAACAACCACGGGTTTTGCTAGTCTTCTATCCCCTTTAATAGGCTTTGTGAAGCTGCCTTACCATAAAATTAAGGCTCCCAGTGTCCTACTTACATAATTTAGCGTCGGAATTGCAAATTTGCCTTTCCCAGAGAGAATTCTTGGTACACACCCTTTAACCTGATGAAGCCTTTCAAACCAAATGTGCCGACGCAGAGATGCGGAAGGCAACCAGAAGCCCCACGGGCCTCTGTCATTCTGGCTAGAGCTGTCCTGAAAACTTATGTTTATACCCTCTGTAAAAATTGCAAAGTTTCACCTGAACACGGCACTTAAACCACTTCGTGTGGCTCAGTTCAGAGAGGCCCTTTTCTCAGCTGCGTTCAGGTGCTTTCTGAGCCTTTTAAAGCCTGTCCACCAAACTCAAAAGGCTCTGCCCCACCCCATCTTTGATTTTCCATTTTTTTATTTCTTTACAGAAATGCACACGCTTCCGTTTGCTCAACCCATGTGGTATGTCCCAACAGTGAACATGCAGGTATTAACCATCCAAAAGCATTGAAAATCCTCCCAGAGCTCCATGGAAAGGGCAGTGGCCAGTTTTCCTCCTTTCCCTTTCAACAGTTCAGACTGATCGTGATTTTTGTAACAGCCACATGCAAACAGCAAAGCACACCATCACATTTTCAGCACCCTCTGCGATTTATCCAGCAAAGAGAGCACAAGGAACAAGCAGCAAATGCAAGAATCAGGGAGAATATGCAGAGAAAAAGCCCAACGTGACAAACCAGGAGCTGGCTCAGATGAGCCACGTGCAGAAGGGAGAGCTCTCTGCCTTTGAGGGAAGGCAGCAGCTCGCCCAAGCTGCCAGCAACAGCCGTGTTCCTCCCTGGCAGGGGTTATCTCAATCCCAAAGACAGGCATGCTTTGCAGATTCAGAAAAATCCCATTTTCTCCAATCTCCTTTAGTCTGGTCCCTAAGAGGCAGCTGTGCAGAAATAAAGAGCTGGGGTTACAATTAGTCACAGGCTGAACACAAGCCAACAACATCGTACTGCTGGTAAAGACCAAAATCCTTGTGTCTGTAAACAGGACTGCCTTATGTAAGGCACGCACAGTAATCCCTGTGCACCAGTACTGCTGGGATCATAGCTGGAATGGTGTCTCATCCTGGTGGCCAGATTTCAAGAGAGAAACAAACCCATAAAAGAAGCTCAAATGAAAGCAATGAAAAGGATAAAAGGTCTGGGGGAAAGAAAAAAAATACCCCCAAAAAAACCAAACAAAAATAACCCCAACCCCAACACTTACCAAAGAAGAAATATGAAAAGAATTAGGTTTGTTTAATTTAGGGGGTGGAATCTTCAATCTCCGCCTCCTGGAGGTAGAAGCAGGCAAACAAACCTTCGCCATCCCATCCAAGGAAATGCTTTTTTGTTTCGAGATCTTTGTGCACAACAGGAGTCAAACATTCCCATGAAACTGCAGTTTCGTCAGGTTCAGCTAAGCCTAAATCAAACTAAAATAGCTAAAGAAAATAAGGGCTTGTTCCTGGTTGGAGGTTTGGCCAGACTACAGAGGAAGAAAACAAAAAGCCAGTACAAGAACGTGATCATCGAAGCCCTGAAAACACTGATTTGGATAAGCATGAATGTTCTTTCATGTCTTGGAAACTAAGCAACTCTTACACAACCAAGGGCTTCATCTGTCAGGATGGCTCCCTTCATGGTGAATGTGTTCAAGAGGGAGAGAGCACTTCAGTGGTGTCTCATCACCAGACGCCAATTTAGGTAGCATCAGGTTACCAAATATTTTCTAATTTCTAGTAGAAAAGTTTCTAATCTCTTTATTAAAGCTGCTGTTGATAACTATATGTAATCCTTCCTCCACATCTTAACAGGAATAGGCTTGAGCTTGTGGGCAGGTCAATCCCCATCGAAACAAATGGGAATCTTTCCATCAACTTGAAAATAAACTTAACAGACTCAGCATTGCCTTGACTCAGCCTCTCTCTCCACCTGTGCAAAGAGCACACAAGGCTAGAGCCACTTTTCTTATTGCTCTCCTTTTCAAAAAAAAAAAAGGCTACAAGCTCTCCAACTTTAAGGAGCAAAAAGTAAAGTGATAAATGCTACCGGAATGACTTAAGTCAGCTGTTTTGCAAGTTAAGGAGTTCTTTCAATTTTAAAAGCCTCCTACTGAACCAGGCATGAGAAGATATATGCTTTTAATAAAAAGGTCGGTTCCATTTGTTCAGCCAAAATGTTGTTTATTTTTAAGTCCAGAGGAAAAGGTCCATTTTGCGTATTGGAATAAAACTGCCCTCACTCCATCTGTCCTGGGAGTATTTATACTGAGGCTCTTTGTGTTCCACATCTGACAGATACAGGCAGCACCGTGTCCTTGCCCTGGCAGCCCTATTCAGGTCTGAAAGGGAATCACGACCCTGTCGTCCATCAGGAAACGCGCGGTTTTCTATTACAAGTTATTTGGCGTTTCCTTGTTGGGGTCCATCCCAGGGTGGAACCTGAAGTCACTGCTTTAATATCTGACTCATGCCATTCAGCAAATACAAAGAAAAAGCAGCAAGATTTTCATGGATACAGTTAGTGAGGAAGTAACTGAAATCCAAAGATAACATCTGCAGTGCACTCCAGTTCCAATTTCATACCCAGCTGAACATGAACCACAGTGTACAGCCAAGCCAGTCCCTTTCCTGGCTCCCTAAAGGCTCAGCTCATCAACACACAGCCTTCTCTCACAACTGTCAAAAGCTCGTCGAACCCAAACCCAATGTTACAGCAAAAACACCAAAAACTCGGAGTCGGAATCAAAACCCAAACAGCTGATTTGCACTACACACTGGTTTTTTTCTGGGCAGCTGTGATTTCTGAGCGCATTCCTTGGGATACATTTCTTGTCGTCATTTTTTTTTTAAAAAAAAAAAAAAAAGGTCTCCAAGTCATTAGGTTTATTATCAATATCCCCTCTGCTGCCGCAGTTAGACATGAGCAAATAAATCAGAAGTCTCTTCTCAGCAACATTTTGTATCCTCAGCTTCTGAGCAGATCCAGGATATAAAGGGCTGAGTTTGTAGAGATTACTCAAATTGAAGAAAAACAAACGCTGTTTGTGGAAAGTCGGCTCAGAAGAACGAGTTATGCACTAGGACTCCAAAACTCAAACACGTGCAGCAAGATGAGCCGGTTCCTCGAAGAGCAGCTAGTGCTTCTTCACTGCTCCAAGGCAGAGACCACAGTGCTGGTGCAGGATCCTGCCTACTACGCAGCTTATACAAAACATGCCAGCAAAATATCCCCCTTGTCAGTCTTCAGGCATTGCAACAAGATATGTGATCCAGTTTACATTATCCAAAGGGCAACAGGGGTTTCAGAACTCCCTCAAATGACTGAACAGCTCAAGACTGCAGAGATCAGGCTGGACCACTGCTCTCCATCCAGAAGACATGCCCAGCAGGAACAAGTAGAAGACAAGGAGCTAAAGGGTCCCCCAGCTCTGTTCTGCATATTTAGACTTTGCAGCCCAGTAAGACAGTTATTTCTCCCAGACAGGGAAACCATAGCAGGCCAGACGAATACCTTGATCAAAGTCACAAAGAGAAAAGCCACAGTCAAGATGAGAAAGACAACAACAGGAAAGGCTAAGGCCAAATGATCACAGTAAAGGGGAATTGTTAGGTGCAGGTCATGGCTCCTCTGGGCTGCTCGTGGCCTGTCTACATGGTGAATATCTCAACCGGTGTAAACCCTTGGAGCAATTCTGAGGCTTTGATACGATCCAGTGCAAACTGGACTAGAACCAGCTCCACCTTCTTCAAGTGCAGCTCATATGCACCAGCTTCTGTACAGATTAACTTCCCTGGAACATCTCCACCAAGAAAAAAACCCCACCTTCTGGCAAGGCTGCCAGTGGCTAAGTCTCTTCCTCTCACTGAGCAACCCATTTCCCAGATTACCGTAACCAAGATGTGGCACTTCACTACAGTGCCGCCAGGAGACAACCCAAGTTGTGTAACCCACCCATCTGTACATAAGTACCTTTTTTTTTTTTTTAATTTAGCTAGTAACCCACTCACTGTGTGCAGATCGCCAAAGCTCCGACTGCCGCTCACACAAGCTGACATTTAACCCCCAGGAACAAGGCCACCCAGCCTGCTTTCCAAATCCATTTTAGCTAACTTGGGTATGCAGACACTGCATTTTCCAATCATATGATCCTGCAAACCTCATTGTGAATTGAAGGTTTTCAGTTGCTAAAGGGCATTTCCAAACATGAATACTTTCCTTTTCACCACAAAAACTGATTTCCCAAATCCTGGGGCCCTAAGATCATCTGAACAAACTTCCTGAGGGAGACAAGTACAAAGAATTGCTTCCTTCACCACATCTAAGCAAGCACCTGCTCCCACACACCCTGTCTCATCCAGCTAACGCACATCTTTCCATGGCCCAAGTCCAATCCCAGGCCTGCAACATGTCTTTCAGCACCCAGCTCTGCTTACTGCAGGTGGCTGCAGTGCCTAACTGGTATACCTGTAGCCGCTGTACTCTGGGCGACTGGCAGGGTACCCCACCTCCTATACATCACAGAGGGCAAGCTCTGGCCTCCAGACCCTTGCACCTACAGTGATTACACACCCTGAGATACCTCCACCAAAGACAGGCCCGGACAGGATGCGATGAGTGGCCTGAAGTGCTCCCTGCTACTGTTAAAAGGTTGCTTAAGTGGTTTAATCTAAAGAAAAAACCAAAACAACAAAGAAAACCAAGAACTGGTCCCAAACTGCTGCATGGCTTTGTTTTTCAGTTTTGTTTCTTTAAACATACTCTGCCGAGGGTTCTCCAGACAAAGATGAAGAGATGGTCTTCCACAGCATGTGATTTATTCATTTTTTTCCAGACACATTGCCAGCATCTGACTTCTATTCCCCGTTGGTAAAAAAATATTGCAGACAGCCTTCGTGATCAATATACTGTTGTTTTCCAAAGCCTGCATCCACACACATCCCTCCTCTCCAAAACTTTCAGCATATTTGTCAACCTCTGCAGTAGCTACACCTCATCACCATGTCTTGCAGCACTGGCAAACTAGCGACTGGCAGAGATGAAACCCATGTGGCACGCACCCTGTGGTTCTCAGTGCGCTCCCACCGGGACTGAGCCCTAATTTTCAAACAATAGGGCCATAGGGATGGGCCTCGTGTGAACACAGCAGAGCTGCGACACAAGAGGGCTCCCGTTACTCCAGATTTCAGGGTACCTATCATGTTGTTCAGCCCCTTGTTTTTCAATGAAACTTTATTTTAGAAGAGCGTTGCCTAATATATAATAATATGTTACTCAATATTCAGAAAGAAGCAAAAGGTTCAAGTTTACATGTTGAGAAAAAGAGCAGTATAAAAATGAGAAGCCTGAAGGATGATTTTTTTCTCGCTGCAAGCTGTACTTGGGAAAGATCAGGCCACGCATTACAGCTGGAGTGCCAAAATGAACGAAGTTATCTCAGATCTTCTGAGACTTGTTATCTGCCACAAGACCACATGAAAGGAAAGTTTACTGCACTTTAATTACCAACATCTGGAAAAACGAATTGCAACATTAGAAGAAAATTCTTTGCAGAAGGTATCTCCAACCAAAAATCAGCCATTCAGCCATTTTAATAACAAGTTTCTTAAGGAAACAACTGAAAACCAGATGGGACATGAGAAACACCTGCTACTCCTCTGAGTATTCAAAAGACATCAGCTTTTAGAGGTGAACAGCAGCACAATTTGCTACATAATGCA